TATATATAATATTATATATGTAATAAGATAAATGGACAGGTATCTTCAAAAAAATGTACTTGAACTCGATGCATTGTAGACACTCTTTGTAGATAAAGACATTTTAGTGACAAACCACACGTTATTTTCGATCGAACAGTCGAAGATGATCAGACTCTTACTTGAAGAACTCGAAGTCTCTGCAGTTAGTTACTGCTCGAACGCGCGCAGGATCTCCCTCGGTTCTTCTGCATGCGACAGTCCCGCGTTTGTTTTACGACGATCAATCGATCGCTCGTCACGTCGATACTTCGGTCGCGGTGGACGTGCGAAATTTTCCGCGCCGCTGTTTTTCCTTCTCCTCGACGATGTCGTACGGCGCGAGGCGTCGCGCTTGATTTTCGCGATATCCGCGACGAAATACATAAATGCATGATAAAATAGTTATCTGGCTGAGAAAAAATTAGTACGATACACAAGGATGCGGTGAGGTACTACACTGTTAACTGAACACCAAACGATATCGAATAAACAAGGTGCTACCGAGCGACGCAAAGTTGGAAACGCCGCTTCGAAAGGTACAAAAATACAAAAGACAAGGGTGACATATTCTCAAGGAGCAACTTTTAATCATTTTCGCGCTCAGTCCATGTTCACATTGCATTAAGCATGTCCTACGTGGCTTATCCTAATGTGACTAATCACGTTTTCTACATATTCAACAAGGCGCACGAATAAGCATAAGTCATGCAGGCGAACATGCCTGCAAGATAACACATCCTGTCCGGCTGAATATTTAAAATCACCGGCTAACACAGTTGTCACTTTTTTATCTCGCTGGTACCAATGTGAACTCCCATTGGTACTCAAACGCCGTATCTTGGGGAAAAAAATCAATACCACTACTACCGTATGAAGAAGAGCGGTTTCACCGTCGCAGCGAGAGAGCGTCACAAATCCCGATCGCTATCGCCGCCCCATGCGCGAGCGTTAAAAATTCACCGATATCGTCATCCGTCTGACGCCTCTGACGCGGTAATCCGAAAATATTCGACGGTCAATCAGATCCAAGGACGATACGTGATACATTGTTGCAGCGATGAGCATCGCTTCCGAATTCCCGACGCGATTTTGCATGACGGTAAATAAGCGCGAAGCGAGCGGGAGGAGGACGACGGGCGGGCAGGTAGGCAGGCAGGTAAGCGGATTTGTCGTGGTTGCAAGCCACGAAGAGGCTTTGTAAAAATCGCAGCCACGCTCGCAGCCGGTTGCGAGAGCAGTACCCTCGGTCAGGGTCGGCGAGTGTAAGCGAGCACGAAGGTAGATCAACGTCGGCTCACGTGTCGACTTCTAGCGCGTGCACCGTCTTGGCGCTTGGCGCTGTCCTCGTCGTCGCGGTCAGGAAACGGCGATTATCGGAGCGTAGGAATACGACGTAGGTGATAACGCGCGGTGATACCGGTCTCTCTTTCGCCGACCCTACTCGCGGTTCCGCGCGAGAAAAGCCCGCTCAGGAAATAACCGGTAACGGCGACACGTCGACGCGCGGTATAAGCCGATATTCAAATCGACCCGATTGAATTCTAAGCGCGCGCCGCTGAATCGGCCGGGCAAAATGGAATTTAAACGGGCGCGTTATATCGCGAATCGGCCGGCGGACAGAATCGAACGGTCGCGAAATCCTCTCAAGCCGGTTCCGAGCCGGCCGGCCGCACGCTCGCTCGTCCATTCGCTCGTCAAGCCAGGACAAACTTCAGTCGCGCGAGAGCGCGACGTGTGTCAACGGGACAATGTAGCGATTGATGCGGGATTAAGGAGATAACTCGTGGTAGTTATGACGAGGTAGTCGGATAATCCGATGGATAAATGAATTTTCTTTTGTTTTCTTCGTCCCATGGTGCATCATCGCGCAGCGACGAGACGTAATGCGCATTTGTCGCCGGGGGTCGATAAATTTCCAGTCGAAAGTGAACATTTGACGAGCGGAGTGTCGCGGTGGATTTGAGAAAAAAATATGAAAACGTTGTCGCGCGAGCCGAAGTGGAAATATGTCTAGTCAGCCTGAATGCAAGACTAAGTCTCTCTTTCTATGTTTATGATTCTATCTTTATTGTTTTATTGCATGCCAAAGGAAGATAGATTGACGCTTACAGCGCCGTCCAAAGAGAACGCGGCAAACGCAGAAAATCAATTGGTATCAAAATTGAAGGCGTGTTATTTCACATAAATCTTACAAAAGCTATATTATTGTCTGGTAACTAATTAATATTTTTTTACCTCGTGACTGTAATTTCTCCTGTTTAACCAACTATCTTAATTATCTAGACATTATCTAGCCACTGTGGGAGAAGTGAGCGTCATATTATTGGCTGCATTAGACACAAATTTGCTACTTCGCGGTTAGACACCCACGAGGTTCAATTTCTACTCGAGGACGTGATGTAACTTCCTGCGTGTTATTCATTCGTTTTTTTTCTCTTTTTTGCGGTTTTTTTCTTCTATACATGTATATGTATTTTCTATATATATAGAACAGTGTAATAAATTTCACGTTACACAAATTCCCGCACGAGAAGCGGGCTCCACGAGAGTGCCTCGCTGCTCGCTTCGAATCTTCCGCCGAGGTAGGCGAATTTTTCATCGCGTGATTTCGCAGTTGTAACGCGAGTAGCTGCAATTTCTATCGCAAGATAACACCGTATCCGTGCGCTCGCGCGTCGACGTTGCATTATTTTTCGCTCATTCCTCCGCGCGCGCTTCGAGGAGCTTTTTCTTACGTAATCTAGACGAATATTTAATATAACCGGTAAAACGATGTAACAAATATTTTGCGTGTAATGGCGTTACATGACGACTAATCGCGAAGTCGAAGTAGAAAAATTTACCACAGTGCCGACCGCAATGCGGCGAGCGCGAAGTGAAAACACACATCGACGCGAAGACGTTGAATTTAATTTCGCCCCGTGATAAAATAAAAACGAAACAATTCCCTCGTTTTAAGCCGACGACGAATCGATTCGGCGCACGTTAGATCGAGTTGCATTCTTCGTATCACTTTTAATTTTAGAAACAGCCTTCGAAAGAGAGAGAGAGAGAGAGAGAGAGAGAGAGAGAGCCTTATTTCGCTGGAACTTCCGCTGGAACGTGACGTGAAATGTTTATGCGTTCTTCGTCACACAAAGATTGTTCGAGCGTTTGTTTTCAAGAAAATTCCCAGAAAACGTTTGCGTGGCTTTCGCCGGCGAATAATTCCACGATCTCTCCCCCTTTTCGGATTAAGAAAAAAAAAGACGCGGACGAGAGATCATACACGTCCGTAAATAATTAGTTCTTAGAGCCGAGGAAGTAATTTAAGACTCGTCGGAGGTCGGGTTAACAGTCCGAGCCGGCCGGCCGACAAACAGAGGAAAAACAAAACGACGCTCGTTTCCGATATCATCGCGAACGTTGCAACATTCTGACCCCCTTCCCTGTTCGCCGGCTATATACGCGAAAGTATCACGTCGGCGGTCCGTACGAATCGATGACGCGACACGCATCATCGACAGATACACTTCGAGTGTCAACCTGCGCGCGCCCGTCGAAGACGAGAGAGATGCACCGTCGACGCACGGATGAATCAATTTCATTCTATTATTACGATCGGACCGACGACGACGAGATGCAATAAGCGAAAGAAGGAAGATGACTCACTCGCCGGGTTGTGACATACGCGCACGTGCGCGCGCGATCTCTGGGCTCCGCTCGGCCGCTGGTTCGCGCGTGCACGAAGTCGGCGTGAGTCGTCGCGCTTCTGCAACAATCATCACAGCCGTAGTCGCCGCCGCTTCTCCTTCATTACTCATCGCCTAAGTGAATGATGCAAATCATGTTCCGGACAAACAGTCGCCTCTCTGAATGCACGCGCGACTACTTGTGCGCGTTTACGTTAGCGGCGCGCGTATGCGTTTCTCTTTTTTCCGACGTAGGCGTGGAACGACGTGGTTCCCAATTCTTGCCGATTTTCGAGGGCGCGGTTTCCGGCCCCACGCGACGCCCGTCCGACCGGATCTCGCGAGGATCCTCGCGACGAACGATGGCCGAGATCATTTTTCAAAAGTTCCCCCTAAGATCCGGTGGATTTGAATACTTTCGTCGGTGTCGCATGGAAATTTACGAGATCCGCATCTTCTTCGGAAAGGGCGAGCGATTTGATCACCGGCGCGGGTCACGCGCGAGAATCGGGCGGATATTATTAGGAAATATCTGCCGCCGGAAAGTCCTTTCGCGAACCACTGGTTGGGAATCGCTGGCGCGGAGGAGCTTGCATAACGCATCGTAACTGTCTCTCTGGATCAGCTGACGCGCATAATCGTTTCGATGAAGTACCATCGTCTTTTCCTTCCTACTCGTTACAGACGGCTACGCGGCTGTAATTAAATGCGACTGCAGCCAATGTTTGAAAAACGACGGTCAACGGTGTATTATGTACAGAGCGTGCCAGAACATTCTACTCGCGTTATTTATCCTTTACTTCTTGGCCTTGGACATGTTTCTTCGTTGTGCGTAGCAGGGTAGCTCCGCACGAATGCGCTGTGTATTAAGCGCTCGTGAAAATGTTGAGTTCTCTCGCTTAATCGACTAATTCTTGTAGTTTTAAAGGCTCGAAAAAAGTCCTTTTTTTTTCGGTTTCTCCCCGCGGATGAACGAAGAAAAGGGGAAAATCGGATTTCTCAATTTTTCCACGGATTTTTTTCGATTTCTTCCCGAGGAAAATTTGAAAAAGGCGGTTTTTTTTTTAAACCTATATATTAATTTTGCCTGCTTCGCTGTTTCGTCTCATATCTCGAAATTCTTGTCGATCCCGAATATTTTTAGTCGATGCATAAGATTTACCGACGTCGGTTTCTCGTTTGTTAACGACGTAATGAATTATGAATGTTTCATTCGTGATAACGTCGAATGTATCTCGAAATTGCTCAGGAAGCGCGCTCGCAAATTCTCGGCAAGTCGAGTCGCAAAGGGTGACAAGCAGTCCTTACCGTTGATACGATTGAACGCCGTGGAGATGTCCAGGCCCATCCTCGGAATCAATCGAGGCACAGAACGGCAAAGTTACACCCGACGGATCACTTTCGAGAATACACATGTGTCTTTCATTATTGTCATTGCAGCATATCCGCATCGTAGCACACTGTATATACGGCGACTTGTCATCCCACCCGACATTCCACCTCCAGGGCAGTACGTGCCGTTCTGCGCTTAATTTTATCTTTGCGAATTTTAATCTTTGCTAACGGATCACGCGTTGAAAAAGAAGGATGATTTGTCGAATTATCCGTGAAATGATATTAAATTCGATAGTCCGCGTGTTTCTTTAAAATATATCTTTCGTCATGTTTATTTATCGTTTATGTAATGTGGTAACATTTTTTAAGAAATTCGATCGAAGAACGAAAAGATTTTCTTACACAAACGCAAAACTTTATTTATCTCGGTTAAAAGAGGAAGAAAACTTTCATTTTATCGCTGCAATATTTTTAGATGCAATTTTTTTCTAACATCTAACGGTAAACATGCTTGTTTATGACACGACTCCTGTGCGTAGATCTGTTAAACTTAGAACTTGAGTGAGTGACTTGACTTGAGTGACCTACACGGAAAAAATATAGCTTCCACAACTAAAAACCAGCTCTCACGGATAAAAATTAGCTGTCCATATAATACAACTGAAGTTTAATTAATTCAGCTAATTCTTTTTGCCCCTGCGCCCAGGTTTTAAGTTCCGCAGCTGAAAACTAGGTCTGCTAACTGAATTTCAATTATACACTGGGAAAAGGAGTATTACGTTTAAATAAATAATTCAATAGTTGCGAGCAAATTTTTACCTGGCTTAAGTAACTTTCATTTGGATCAAATAAATATCACTTGAATGTAACCAAAAAATGCTAGGTTCAAATAACATTTACTCGATCCACGTAAAAAGTTGCTCGGATCTATCGAAATAATTATTCATTTAAATGTGGCACTTTTTTCTTCAATGTATCATATGGACAACTAATTCTCGTTTTCCGTGCGCTTGCACTGATTCCCCCCTCTTTCCTTTTCTACGAACCAAAGGCTTAAAGCTAGATTGACGTTTCCCTCTCCCGCGCCTCGAGCATTCAATCACCTTCACCATACGCGAGTGTGCATAGCATGCGTAGGAGAAACGCACAGACGGATTCTCAACGGCGATCGATAAGCGCGCCGTGATATTTTTCCGAAGTTGCTGACTCACGCGCCATGAATATTCACGAACGACAGTACACTTATCCGGGGGACAGAATATTGTTTTTTCCCGTCGGCCTTTTCCGTTCGACTTTCGTCGTTTAATCGAGTCCTTCGATGCAAAACGCGCACGGTTGCACGGGAGCGAGCGTTGTACTATTACACGAGCCGAGTCGACGTGGACGCTCGCACGGGATGCTAATCGGCTCCGTATGGCGCGCGCAATTACGCTTTCGCACGTCGCTTTAGTCACCGCGCCGAAAAGATCTTCTCAGGATTCGTCCGCGTCGGCGAGCGTGGCGAGGTGCGCAAATGTGTGATCGCCCGACGCGTGTGTGACCATCGCGATTAGTCATAGTTATAGTATACAGGATGATCCAAATATTCCGCGCTTTCCCCGAAGCGCTAGAAGTGAAACTAAGTATAGCGGGAGAATCGAGCGTCACCTCAATACGAAACGCCGAGTCGCGGAGGTGGGCATGCGTGATTCCGAAAAATCAAGATCCCGTGGTTCGAAAAGAAGGGCAACATCTTTCGAAAAGTCGCAATCCCGAAAATCGAACACCGGGACGATCTTCTGAAATATTGCGAGCGTGAAATCGTCCCACGAAGTTATATCGTGACGTTTTTTTGTACGATTTTCTCGAACGTCGATTGTATGATCGCATATTGTATGTAAAGATTGTATCTGAACTCTACCGACGAACTTACAGGGCAGATTCTATGTTCAGAAATAAGTAAAGTCTCATAGTAAACATATATCCGAAAAAATATATATATATATATATATGTATATGTCTGAAAAAACTTAGTTTTTGAGATGTAGCCTTCGGAAGATGACAACGATGAGAGAAAATAGATCACGATAAGCGGGTTGCTGCTGTGTCGGTCACCGGTAACCGACGCTATAACATTCCGCATTTCCAATTTTTCCGTTGTCGCTATATTAACAACCAATTCGCTGTTCCAGCAAAACTTGTTTCCTCCGTGTAGAAGCGCCCACGACCGGCCGTACTGCGCACCATCTGGACGGCAGAGACGGTCTCGGCATAAAAAATAGCGATAAATCATGCCAAGACCATATACTGAGCGCGCCGCTGTCCATCCGCTCTGCGTTCCGCGCTATCCGTCACGATCGCCGCGCTCGTTTCGAGCGGAACGCGATCCGACACTCGCGCGGGGATTCAAAGGGGTTGATATCCGTGAAGCGGGGCTGCCGCGAAACGAGCCGTTGCACGCGACGAGAGGCCGCCGATCGGAAATTCCTCGGGTCGCCGCGATTTTGCCGGCTCGCTCGATCGACCTCGACTTTTCGTAATGCGCCTCCCGCTCCCCGCAGGCGATCCTTATCCGCTTATAACGACGCGCCTGGGAAATCACGAGGGGGACTACGAGCTCGCGCTGACAAACAAGCCGCGCGATAATCGGCCGATCGAGCGAGCGAGATACTCCGTCTGAGAAGTAATCGCGCGTCTTTCATTCCCGAGCGATACTTTATTACGGATAATACGAATTTCGCAACCGCCCTCCCCGGCCATTTATCGCGAATCGCCTCGGTAATGTCGACATACCCCGGGTAGCAGTTAACGACGGCGGCGAGATGAGTCACATGTCACATTGATCGAGCTCGGCTGGGTTCTACCTGCCCGCGAGGATATCGCACGGCGGTATAAACGGGCGCACCGCGTACCGACAGGAAGTCGCGAGTCTTCGACGGCGGCACGTTGTTAGAAACTGAACAGAGCCGGTCGCGCGCTCTACGCGCGACCACGACGTCTAGTCGTCGTCCTCTCTTCTGCGCTCTCGCTCAGACACCTCCGCGCGTAGGTGCGCACAGGTATACGCACACACGCGTGTGCGACGCTCGGATAAATGCTGATCGCTCGGCTCGTTCAGACGTTCTCTCCGATCGCCGTCATTTATCTCTGCTTTTCTCTCTCTCTCGTTCTTCGATTGCGCGCTAAACCGACGAACGACGCGTTGTGTTCCCCGACGTGCCGGTTATTAACACGTTGCCTATTGCTCGCTGCTCGAGATATCTCGCATTTAGCAGGCAGCGTGTGTTGACGACGGGTCGCGCGAGATAAATCTTGTTTCCATACTTGTTTAGAATTGCGCGCGTTGAGAAAGAAAGAGGTGCCACCGTTCGAGTAATATTTACTTGATCCGGGTAAAATGGTTACTCCGATACTCCTCGGTAAATAGAATATATGATATTTATTTTCGTATTAGTAGACATTTATTTGTGTGTTAAAACAATGGCGACGAGAATGGTAAATTCATAATATTGAGAATATCAGAATTTGTTTTTAGGAAATATTTGCCCGACGGAAAATTGAAGTTGAAAGCCATCAGAACCAGGTTTTTTTCAGTGGAAATGAAGTACTCATAGAAATTGCAAAAATTTCAAAGATAGTTACGAAATCCTTACTTGACCGATTTTTTTAATCTGTTAAAAAACGACAGATACAATCAATCAGTCAACTTACCTCTTTAGCAAACTAATTCCAGTTTCCCCTAATTATAATTATTAATCATTAACAGTTATAATGTAATATTAATATTTATAACATTTAATATTAATAATTATAATATAATACTAGCAATTATAATATGTAATATTAATAATTATAATAATTGTAACTATTAATAATTAATAACAGTAATTCTAGCAAATACTCATTTAAATTTAAAATCATTTCACACCTACATTCAGTAATTTATTTACAAATTGAAATATTACTGCATTCAAATGAGTATATTTACTAAATACTACAAGCTACTAAAATAGATTTAAATCAGTAAAAATATTATTCGATTTAAAAGACTGAAAACGGGCTAATTACGGGTTTATTTGACTTAAGCACTCTTCTTCCGTGCATCGGTAGTATTATCAAATTTCAGATAATTTAGTCCGCTTTTTCTTATCGTCATGACAACGGACTTTTATGACGATCTGTCACGAGAGAATGCCGAAACAAATATACGTCAAGATGCGGAAGGCGAACAACATTTCCGCGCCGAGGAGCATTTGTGCGGTGCAAGAACCTTGGAAACAAGCCGAACGATGAACGGAATATGCCGCGGTGAATTAATCGTATCTCGCATGGGGAGGAGCGGTTATGAAAATCGTTTCAGTATCGACGGTATTGAGCGCACGGCGGATAACGAGGGGGCGAGACTGATCAGTGGTGACCGAGAGATGCAACAGTGATATATGAACGGACACGATATACAGTCTCGTGAAACACGAGTGGTAGATGGTGGTAAATATTAGCGCGATATGACGAGAGGATAATAGCGCGCATGAATTTGAAATTGTGTGAGGATATTATCATAGGAAGGGAACGCGATGAGGCGCCCGTTACGAGTTTCTGTGCTATTGTATGGAAATGTAGGAAATCGATGTCGCTGGTGCGCGATCGCGTCATTATCAGAAAGTTCAAACGTTAAATTCAACATAAGCAAACATCCAGCACGGGCAGTCTAAATAATCGACTTCACTATCGCGCGATATAGTCGAACTGTTGTTGTTGCTATTAATATTCGCGCGATTGCATATTTAACAAATAATGATAAAACCGCTAAAAGCCGCTTCGTATCGACGCCAACTAAAGTCGACGTTTAAGCCGACGTTAGTAACACAATATCGTTGCGGAGGAGATTGCGGATGCGAGAAATTGTAACAGTCGAGACTAAGACATTACTGTAAACTGTCGTACGAACGACCCGTGCGAGTATTCCGACGAATAAGTTCCAGACCGCGTTCCGATATTCAGGGAAAAATAGTCTTCAATTAATGATAGATATTCTCATATATAAGCAAGTATTATAACGTTCTTAGGAGATTTTAAATTCTGAGTTAAGTGCAAGTAACACATCAGATTCAATCCAATCGAAACTGAACATCTTCTAAGGAGAGTATAATGTATTTGTTTACACTGAGAAAAAAAGAGTGGAAAATGTATTTGTTAAACATAAGGTTTATTTCACAGAAATAAACCAATTAATGAGAAAACTCGGGTATATCTCGCATAAATATATATTCCGTTGTCACAATCAGATTTTTTTCTAACCAAAAAATATCGAAGAAACATTTACTTCGCAAAATTTCAATTTCTTTTCTCTTCACATATATGTGAGAATATCTGTTTTTGATTTAAGAGAGCCAATTTCTTTTTTCTGTGTAATATACGTAACATGAACTATAGATTTTCAGTACTGTCAGTGATTATCGGATACTCAGCCTCAGACTCGCTGAGCGCGAAATTTGACGCAGCGGTGTATCTCCGCTCCCATTATATGCAGCGGATAATTTTGCATACAACCGGTTTGATACCGGTTTCTTTCGCATTTACATTCGCATCGTGGACAAAGGTGCTCATAAGAATAATACGTACGCTCAACAGCTCGATACGAAAATGATTCAGCGTTTATAGATTAGTGTCACTTGCGCCTGTGCGATAAGGAATTCTCGCGGAGCGCGAGGCAAAATCGACTGTGACGACGGAATTTTCTCTCGTCCGGATTCGTGACACTTCCGAGCGATACAGCGAATCGTGACACGACTGTGTCACCGAATAAATATCGAAGCGAATATTAATATATAGACACATGGGCGCGTATTCGGATAGGAAAATATCCGAAATAAACGGTTACACGGATGTGTCACAAATGTCGTACTTGGCGGGATATTTTCCGAAGAGAGCGAACTTCCCGCAGCCTGCTTGGCTTATGCGCGATACCTGCGAAATACTCGAGGAAATACTGACCTAGGGAGAAATACCAGCACGTAATGGATACTGCGAACTCATCGCGCGCGCGTGCACACAACACACACACACACACACACATATACGAAAGCCAGTCAAGTAACACTATCTGGCCGACAGCCGTAAATAAGAACGCTCGGAGCGACCCAAAGACAGTCTTCTTTCACGTCCTTTTTTGCTCGTAGGATATCGTTGATTTCGCTCTCGTCCTTCACACAATACCCCGAACGTATAAACCCAAAATGACTCTTGGTCGCCGCCGTACCTGGCTTTCGAAGTCTGAATAACATATTCTGGTAGGTTGACATAATCCTGCCCGGGAACTTTCCGAGATAAAATCTCCTCCCGATATCAGAGCACCGATAATACAAAAGCTTTTGATATCGTTTAATTCCTGAAGACTCGTAGTAAAGTGCAAACGACGTTCGTGCGTTCAATATGCGGCCGTGGTACGCGTGTACTCGCGCGGAGTACCGGCGGAAAAGTCCGATAAGGCGGAAAATCGCGCGAGCGAATATCGCTTCCGGCGCTCCGGGAAATTATTTCATTGCTGCGCGAAAAGAGATCACCTTGGCCGGACGCGTAAACGGCGCGCGCGCATTGAGGAAAATCGTTGCGATTTTATCTCTTAAAAATAGCGATAAAATATTCGCAAACAAATAAATCGTAGTAATTGAACAGAGAGATGAAACAAACAGAGATTCAATGAGATAACAGAGATTCAATGAGATAACGTTTGAAAGCGCGGCAGCTTTTTTGCGCGCCATTCCAGCCCCCGACAATTCATCCCTTCTTCTCACCGTCTCCCTTCATCGCGCGTCGCTGCTATAAATCAATAACATTTTCGTTTCCAGAAGGTTCGGCTGAAATGACGACGCTTTCATTTTTGCAGTACGAAAAATCTACGTATCTGATCGCGCTAATTTCCCTTCTCTCGCTGTCCCTTTCGGAACAGGGCGGTCACGTGTTTTCTCTCTCTCTCTCTTTCTCTTTCTTTCTCTCCTCCTATTTTCTCTATTTCAATTTTCGTGGAAAATCCCTCAAATGGAATCGACGATGTTACAAATTGGTCCGGGTTATTGGAAACTGTGTCGAGGCTGAATCGAGAGGAATCGAGAGCAGCGGTGATATTGACAAACAAAGAAACTGGCCCGGGACTTGCGCTCCTGTTGCTTGGAGCGCGCGGCGCGCATGCGCGGGCGACACCGCAACTGACTCAGCGAGAAGCGGCGCTCGCGCCGGTGGGGACAGTTCGTTTCAGCGCAACGATCCGGCCAGGTCTTGTGTGATCGAGAGCTGTTGAAGTTTCGGTCTCAAACCCTGTGCCTAGCGCTCGATCGGCTCGTTCATCTTCCTGGGAGAAGCAAACCCGGTGAGTAGCCCGACACGCGACCTTCTGACGCGAAGACGCGACGTACGTACGGCGAACGAGCGGGAAACGGTGGTGCGTTGATCGCGGTTCAACTGCGTGTCGCCGGCGCGGCCATCTTAGCCGGAACGCGATGGGTAAACTCGTGACTATATTTCGCGCGTCAAACACGTGGTTCGCGGTTCGGTCTGCACGCCGTTCGTGTGCTCCGGGTTGTTAGGATTCTCAACCGTATAGTCGTCGCCGGGCCGTTCCGTCTGTCGGAGGTTACACGATTTTCGGCCTTATGCACGTGTACGCACAAGGTCGAAAATCGCAAAATTTCAGTTATGATGGCTTGACTCGTACACGACGAGACGTGTATGTGCATGTATCAATACGCAATGTGCACGATCGCGCTCGCCGTGTGAAGTGTTCGGGCTGTCTCGTTGAATTTTCTACAACTGATTGCATGAAACTATAGCAGCGTCGTTCGTCGACACACTGCGGCATGTTATTCGCGCTATGCTGCTCGCAGACTAAACATACATCGGTCTTAGATTACCAATGTTGCGAGAAGAATGCCGGCAAGTTTTGGCATGAGGTGTACCGATCGTTGTATAAGTGTCGTCGGTAATTTTTATACATCCGATAATGTCGGCCTCCATTAGTCGAGTGCACGCGGCTCCTTTGATCCGGCCGAGCGAGCGCGGGACTGTATATACAATCCTTGAGGGAACGTGAGATCACGATGACGATACCTGCGTATCCCTTTCAAATATTTCATGGAATTACCGCCGATAGCAACAACAAAGCACCGTTGCATGGACGCTCTTTATCCCATTATGACGAAATCGGATAATTCTGGCATCATCGGTATCGATTCCAGTTACAAAAACTAACCGAGCGTTTCGTATTCAAAGAAAGAGAGAGAAGTTGCGCTGCCTCCCCCCCCCCCCCCCCCCCCCCCCCCCCCNNCCCCCCCTCCTCCCCCACACTTCACGGGATTTCGCTTTAATGTTGAAATGAAAGAGAGAAAGCCGGAAATGAGGGGAAAATTGAAATATGAAGTTGTTAGATGTACGAGATTTTTTATGTGCAAAATTATTAAGTATTATGATATGAAAAGTACGTTATACGTGCAATTTTATGAAGACTGATTTAAATTAATTTTTGTTATATATCTGAGGAAAGAGAAACCATGTATAATAAAATTTTACTATGCCGTGTTTTAATTCAGATTAATATATTATAATTTATTCCTATTATTGTTTTGTATGCGATATGTCCAATGATTATTTTAGAATTTGAGAAAATAGATAGTCTTTCGCTATCAGTTGATACTCGTCACTGCTGGGACATCTTCAGAAGTAAGACATTTCCCTTCCTATTATATCCGACCTAGCTCTTATTAGCTCACACAGATTAATTAATTTCTTATTAACTGTTGTGATTTTTGCAAAACAGTTGTTCCAAATGATTTTCCTGTCGCTTAATTTGTTCCACCTGCATATCATGAATATCAAAATAATTATTTATCTTGTATAATTGATCTATGTTCATTGCTACGATTGAATTATTACATGTGTGCCATTTTAATTTTAATGAATTACTTTTTACGGTATTTTTACTGCTTTTTACAGTTTTATACTGAACATTTTTCCGGTTCCATTTAATTTTTAAAAGGGATAAAAGAAAATTTAGTTATTAATTATAATAAGAAGACTAAGTATTTATTTAATTTTATATTTTCTATAACATCATTATTGTATTTATACCTAATTGCAATATGTATTTTAGATCAAGATGAGTGACGAACAATGGAGAGGCAATATAATAGACTTTTCACAACCACCGACGGACGCGTCGTCTTCGGTAAGAAAATCAAAATCTCACAAAGTCAAGTAATATGCTGTAGAAATGAAAATGTAATAAATTCGTGCGATTAATTACAATATTATCCTTATCGTCAGTTTGATCAAGGACGTGCACCGGTCAAGGGTAAAGGACGTGGTGCAGCTGTGTACAATAACAACAACGATGACAGCGATTTCCGCGTGGGTGGTGGTAATTCTTATAGCGATGAGAATGCGAGCTACCAAGAAAGCCGTAACGACAGCACCAGCAATAGAGATTACGGCAATAATAGATATAATGGCAGCGGTAACAGATTCGGAGGAAACGACAAACCGCGTTACGGGAGAGGCGACGGTGATGGAAGTGACCGCAGGTGGCAGGGGCAAAGTAATAGGAATAACGGTGACTGGGATAAACGCAACAGGAATAAAAATGACGGCGAAACCGAGGACGGGGGGTATGATGGGAATGATGGGAGAAACGATAGGAGAGATGGACCGAGACGGGATAGAAACGACGACAGAGGCGGCAGAGGCGGTGGTTACGGTGGTGGTAGAAACAGGAGAGGAGGCGACGATGATTATTACGGCGATGCAACCGATGAAAATCGCGAAGATAGGGGAGGACGAGGCAACAGGAGAAACAACAGCGACGGCAATAGAGACGACGGTGACGGTGATAAGAAGAACAGGGAGATTTACATTCCGCCGGATGAGCCGAATGATGAGAACTACTTATTCGGGCACGATGTGTCGATGGGAATCAATTTCGATAAATATGACGATATCGAGGTGAAGGTGTCCGGTGAGAACGCACCGCTTCCGATACATTCCTTCGAATCGTCCGGTCTGAGAACTCTGTTGGTGGAAAACATCAAGAAGTCTGGTTATCAGAGGCCTACTCCCGTTCAAAAATACGCCATCCCGATTATATTGAGCGGCCGCGATCTGATGGCTTGCGCGCAGACGGGTTCGGGTAAAACGGCAGCTTTCGTCGTTCCCATCATACATACTTTATTGGAGAACCCGAAGGAACTGGTTAGAACGGGCACGTCCTGCGAGCCGCACGTAATCATAATATCGCCCACGCGCGAGCTCACTTCCCAGATACATCAACAAGTCCGGAAATTCGCCCTTAGCTCTGTCCTGAAAAGTGAACTGGTTTACGGAGGAACGTCGGTCATGCATCAGGGAAACAGGGTTTCCGCCGGATGTCATATTTTAGTCGCGACTCCGGGTAGGTTATTGGATTTCATTGGGAGAGGCCGAGTCAGATTGTCGTCTCTACGTTTCTTCGTGCTGGACGAAGCCGACCGAATGCTCGACATGGGTTTTTTACCTGAAATCGAAAAGATCGTCGACCACGAGACAATGGTGCCTCCGGAAGAAAGGCAGACGTTAATGTTCTCCGCTACGTTCCCCAGCGAGATACAAGAGTTGGCGGGGCGATTTTTGAAGAATTATCTATTCCTTGCCGTTGGGATCGTCGGCGGCGCCTGCGCCGACGTGGAGCAGAATTTTTATCAGGCGTCCGGGCAACCAGATAAACGTAAGCTGCTGAAGGAATTGATACAGAAGCAGAATGAGACCGGCAGTATAGAAGGTACGTTGGTGTTCGTCGAACAAAAGAGACACACCGATTTTATCGCCGCGTTCTTGTCGGAAAACAATTTCCCGACCACTAGTATACACGGCGACAGACTGCAGAGGGAACGAGAAGAGGCCCTGTCTGATTTTAAGCGGGGCAAGATGTCGATCTTAGTGGCGACGGCGGTGGCTGCGCGCGGTCTAGACATCAAAAATGTCGCTCATGTTATCAACTTTGATTTACCGAAGACGATCGACGAATACGTCCATAGAATTGGACGAACCGGCCGAGTGGGTAATCGAGGTAAAGCGACTTCTTTCTTCGACCCGGAGCATGATACGCCTATCACTGGCGATTTGGTGAGGATTTTGAAGCAAGCGGGTCAGCCGGTGCCAGACTGGCTGGAATGCGGCGGCGGTAGCAGAAGTTTCGCACCCGGTCGAGGATCACGACGATTCGGCGGAGTGGATATCAGAAACGTGAGTGACGTGTACGGTTTGAATTCACGATTAAGTATTAATAATACGCGATTTCTTCTCATTATATTAAGAATGTACTTATATATATAGTTATGTACGAATTTTTATGAGTGATTAAAGAATGTTGTTTTTTGCAGAACAAAGATGGATATGGTGAATCGTACGACGAAGTTATTGGTGATGCACCCCCCGTACAAGTGGAACCGGAAGAGGAGTGGTAAATACAACGTACCTCAATATGATATTACGGAAAGAGTTTCTTTTAAGTTAAAAACAAAAGTAATACACGTTGAGTCCGTCGACACGGTCAAGATTATTATTTTTCGCTCCCTTCCTCTTTTTTCTTTTCTTTATGCTATGCCAGGTTACTGTATAATATACCTCAGCATATTTCTTAAAAAATAATGAGAAAGTTGAATATATTTTTGTTTAAAATGTACAACTTGATGCCTAGATACAAAGACTATTACATATAACTTATTACGCGTAATTACGCGCAGATGTAAAAATACGTGTAATTGAATATAATTACATGTATCTTCAACAATAAGTTTTATATGTCAGGTTATACAAAAGTTCCTTGCATTAGTCGTGCCGTAAGAGAAAACGGTATTTCAGGGTAAGATTAAGATGTAATTGTTCTTTTAACATTAGTTTTTTTATGACTAATTCCCAGATTACCTCATAAGATATAAGTTTGTGTTACAAGAAAGTTAAAGAAATATTTTATTTTACAAAACTGTTTCCTTACGTTAGGTTCCTCATTATAAGCATTTTTGTACCTTATTTTTTGTAATAAAAACTTATTTTAATATTAAGTAATTTTAACATATACTTCATTATATCTCCGTTTTAATGTGAATCCTAATAATGTAATGATAGGAACTCGTACTTACCATCATTCATGGCCATGTCCATCAGATGTAAATCCTCGTCGTTAAGTAGAGACGATAGGAATCCGTCCGTGGTTTGGTTGATGGAATCTGCTGCCGGCGTATGATAATACATCATATCGCTGGGCTCAGACTTGTATGTTGCGCCGCTCTCTGCACCCATTGGTTCGCTGCTGTTTGTCAAATTCATCGATGTTGCCACGGCTGAGCCCAAATTCGACGACCCACCTGTAACAGTGAGCAGCTTAGTTCAGAAAATGAAATTTCTTAGATAAAACTTCAAATTATAGCACATCTTCGTATTCTGTTTCACCTTTCACAAACATTTGTATAACATCTTTTGCTGCGCTTCCTTGATTGCATTATGATGAATTAAAAGTATCTCGCTTGCATATCTCCGATAGACCTGTTAAGAGATCCCCTCAAAACGCTGCTAATTTCGATCAAAAATGTATCTTTTTCCACTTCTTTCTGTTAATAAGATGAGATTACGAGAAGTAAAAGTGGCATAAATTTTCGAGAGATACTTTTATCGTTCCAGATTCTAGAATCCCAGAATTCTAAATCGACATCTTCCTCGTTAGCGTTACTTGTTTATACACGCCGCAAAGCTCGCTGCTGCATCGAACGGCAGAGAAATGGAATGCGATTGAAAGGAGGGATAAAATCTCCGTATAATTTTAGAAGACGGACACTCACCGACATTGTGATAAGGTCCCGTCGAATTGAGATCCCCGACCGGCGGTGCTAAGGTAGGATTGTGGAGCAGTACGTTACGTTGCGCCTCGTAATGACTGTGACTTATACCGTGTCCTGGATATCCCGGATGCGGCGGATGTGTAAAGTGATCCGGTGCTCCCGGAAGGGATAACAGAGACGCGAGATCCTGCCACCGCTGTTCCATGCTCATCGCCCGCATGAACGGCATGCGACCCTGAAACGAGTATAAATTTCGTCTTCCTAAAGATGTCTCTTTTTCTTTTTTTTTTTCACAAAGATGTCCCCGCTTTTAGTTGTATCTCGGACAACAATAAGCGGTAAGTGTGTACTGTGTTAATCCAAATATTAAAAGAAAATTATCTCGATATGTTTCCCCCGAAGTATGATTATATATTTTTTTTTTATCACGTTTAGTGTTCTCACAGCTTCGAGGGAAAAAATGCTGATAAAAAATATTCATCAATCGCGATTTCATCAAGTTACGTTGATAAATGTCGCCCGAGCCGAGCTCGAAGCGAGAGTCTACGTGGTAGTCGGCCTTCGTTGCAATTATCTTATTTTGTACACTCTATTATCATAGAATCGAACATCCATCGATCGGGTGTCACGCGAGAGGAATCTCGTAGCCGCCGTGCCTGTCAAATGTCAACCAGATAGACACCTGGATTCCGAGGAGACGGGAACCCCCGCTGGTCGCGTAGGTGTAGCCTCCACCGTAAGATCGGTAAAGGATATTAATAACAACGATACTACGTGTCAAAAGTATCCTTTGCCTCTTGTAAGGGCGTGCGTCAATCGTGATCGCGTGTCAATCAGTGCGGGAATTATGACGGGCGAAATTTATGATTTATAAACACGACATTTTTATAAGTAGCCGCCGAATAAATATGCGCGTTATCTACCGTGGGAAGGATTACTGAAATTAAATTTGTCGGCACGACAAGCGCGTACATTCGTGTACACTGCTTGATGTAGTTGTAGCGTAAAATGATTTTTTTTTAATTCGTTGAACTTGTACCATACATAGATTTAAATATGACCTAATTATTGGTGTAATTAGAAAATGATTGACTCAGGAGTTGAGATATTCATTGTTAAAAGAACTTCATGATTTGGTTGTGAAGTTTTTCCTTACGTAGCAAGCTATAAAGATTAATAACAAAATTGATATTAGAATAATGCATAGTTATGAAAAGACATTCTGAATCCATTTTGATATTAAGGACTAATATAGAGATATAAATTCCAGAATTATTAGCCATTTTATTTGGAAAAAAAAATTATATATATATATATAATCTATTAAATTTACAAATTATATATTACGCTCTTTAATAGACGTCGTCTATTACGAGCGGCGTAATGAGCGTCGTTTTCATACTTTTTGTATGCTCATTACAGCGCGCGACATTATACAGGAGACGCGAAATTATACCTTGCGTGGGAGAGTTTTGCGCCCACGAAAAAAAGACACCGGCAAACCTCTCGGCTGCAGATTCAAGAGCAAATGTCCTCGGTGTTGCTACCGAGGACGCGTTAGGAGAATCTCGTTCGCTAATTACAGGAGAGAGAGAAAGAGAAAGAAAGCGTTATTTATTACGCATTCTGGGACATGTCAAGCGCTACATATGATACAATATTATTAGAAAATAAGTATTAAAAATTTCGGTAACATTAATGTCGAGAATATACATTATATGTGAATAAGTATAATTCTAAATATACATATTATAGATGAAGTTGCCGTGTGTTTGGCTCTAAGTATTAAGCGATGTTCACACAAGCAACGATAATTTACATATTTATATATTTATCCCGAGAGAGAGAGAGAGAGAGAGCGCAGTGGGGATTCTCGAGGCGACGTACTTTCACGAAATTTCTTCGTTCCGCTCGAGCCGCGGAACAGGAGAGTGAAGAGAAGAGCGGGGAGGAGAGGAGAGGAGAGTACGGCTGCGTCTCGCGGCGTAAGCGCGGTAGTAGCGCTGTTGCTGCTGTCGCTGGTGCTGTTGCTGCCGGGGGTACCCACCACCGGCGCTTAATGCACGTAGGTATTGTCGCTAATGCGCCCGGGCGCAAGAAGAAGATGAATAGGGAAGGCTGCTAGTGGCGCGCGGGGCCTGTTGGATTGTTGTTCGCGGGCGCATCAATCAGTCGCCGGTGCAATCTGTCGAGCGCGCGACGCCTTTAAGGCGATTCTCGCTTGTCAGCGCATCTGCCGGCTGTGTGTAGGCCGGCACGGCCGCGAAATGTAGGACGGCGACTTTTGTTCCACGGCGATTTGTCGTGCGGCGCGACGCGCGCAGTTTCTAATGGCCGGAGCTTTACGGCTCATCCTGCTTCGACGTAACGGCCGTGATTGAGTTATAGGGGGAAAAAAGGTGCGCATTTAAGCGGCCGCTCTTTCTCCCTTTTCTCGCGAAGTCGCGCGAGACGACGGCGGAGATTATCGTCGTCCTGTCGTCGTCCGCGTCGACGCGACCGCCGGCTTTCCGTATTCGACTTCCAGTTTTCAATCGTCCCGGGGAATACTCGCGATTCGTTATCCTCCACGGCGAATTAATCCGTGACGGGGACGGTTAACGCGACGGACGGTCGTCGCTGTCGCGCGAGGAAGAAAGAGAAAGAGGCTGGAAATCTCGCAGACGGCCGATCGTCGATTTAGGCGCACGTCGCCGCCCACGTTTAATTGGCAGTTTATTTAACCCTGCCGCCGCTCGCGATGATTTGCCCACGGCTTGCTGCGAGCGAACGGGAAATTATTGGGACGCGCCTTTCGCGCGATACGTGTTCGTACGCGTCCGGCTGTTAGATTCCTGCGTGGACGATTTGACGCGCGCGCGCGTGATTTATCGGACAGCCGTTAGGGCTGCCCGACATAGTGCTCGCTTCTGACGAACTCGCGTCTCGCGAATGTGGTATATATCTACGCGAGCGCGGTAAACGAACGTTATGTACATTCCGCGCGCTACCGGCGCGCTCATGATTTATGCACCACCAACACCGAGGCGGAGCGCGCGCGCGCGCGCGAAATACACAGGTGGGAACGCGTGCGTGATGCGCGTGTATACGTCCGTCCGTCCGCGATCTCTCGGAGTTCTCCTCCACGTGCACCGGAGGGAGAGTCGTGCGGGAGTCTGCGGAGAGGCCGCGAGGAAAGATATCTGCGCGCCGGCAGATGTTTGAGACGCGCTGTCGAGGACTCGCTAGATTTCTTCCGAGATCTCTCTCTCTCTCTCTCTTTCTCTCTTCCTCCCTCTCTGCTTTTATCCCTCCCTGCCTACCCCCTCGCGGCCAAGTGTGCTCTTTTTCTTCGACCAATACACATTAATAAGCGCGCGCGATCTTCTCGCGGCCTTATCAAATCCGTAACGAGGACGCTCCGGCGTTCTCCGGCCGTGGAATTGATTTTCCGAGGGAATCTCCGTGTCGCCTCGTTATCGAACACGTATTCCGACTCGTGTCGCTGTTTCCGCGTATTATCGTTTTCATCGAGCCACTTCGATCGGAGATTACTCGCCTGTTTCCAATGAAAACAATCTTGAAATTAGTTCTATCGTCGCTGTATCGCTCCAATAATAGTTATCTCTCTCTCTCTCTCTCTCTTCAGCCGGTGACCGATAACTGCGAATAAAACCAGCACCGTCGATGTTTGAACTAACAGGGTCTCTCGCGTTTCGCGTTGGAACCGCTTCGTAGGAATACCGGTGTCACCACACGTCCGCGTGTATCTTTTTATTTCCCTTTAAACTGTCATAAAATGCGATCAGTCCCTCTCTCTGTCTCTCTCTTCCTTTCTCGTCCTCTCTCGCTTTCCCGTCCGGACGGCCGGACGCGGTTCTGTTTTTATTTCGGCCGCAACGTCGCGAGACGTGCACCGCGAGGAGCCATTTCGATCTCTATTTGACAGTGATCAACCGACTGCTTGACACCTGCCATCGTCGTCGCTTAACCTACGCGGTCTCTCTCTCTCTCTCTCTTTCTTCATCGGTCCTCGATCGGTTACCTCGAGTTACCTACTTTTCACCTCGCCGCGTCGCCGTGTGTTTTCGTACGTGACTGCTGGCAAAGCTCGTTTCTGTCACGAAAGTTGTGAGTGAAAATATTGATGGATACGGGATTCAGCCCTCACCCTTTATGCGTGGCGCGCGGAAAAAATATTTTGTCTGCCTACCCCGATTCGCCCACCGTCGATCGGAAATTTCCCTCCCGCGTCCCCTGGATCACAAGTGCGCGTACGTATGCATCGGGGAATGCGACCTCGACGGTTCTCCGTCGCTCGCTCGATCGAGCGGGAGGATTCTTAATCCTTTGGGTACCACGCGTCCTTATAGTGGCTCCTCTCTAAGTGATTTTCTGATTCTGATACGCGTCACTACGTAGTAAAAAAACTATTTGTGTTACATGTCGCATATTTTATACGTCTCAGATGGCCTGGTCAAATTTCTTTTTCTTAATTCGACACTAGGTGAATATGTTGGAAAATAACCCAAATAATCGGCCCAAAGTTAACGTAAAATCAATACTTGAGTGAAACAACAACATTTTCACTCAAACAAAATGACATCTGATATTAAATTCCATATTAAATTATGTTATTTCCATTAAACAAACCCCCAAGCCAAAGAAGCACGTATGATAAACCCAAAGGGAAACCTTTTTATCGACGTACAATATAAAGAAACGAAACACTAATTGCGACGCTCGTTCGGTCGCGGCGAATCCGTACGGCGGTGTAGAGCTTTTCGCGCGGTTCTGCGGCAGCCGGAGGGTTAATCGGCGAATTATTAACGAAAGTCGCGGCCGGGAGAAACGCGTTCGCGCGTCTTTTGTCCTTTGGTGCGCGCGCACGTGGCCTCAATGACTGTACGAAGACAGAAATTCGTTTCACACATCCTAGATAGCGGCCGGCGCGGAGGCGCATTATGCATTTCACAGCGCATAAGTCCAGCAGCTGCGTGGAATTCACGGCGAACGGGACGGGCTGTGCGGTGACGTCCCGTGGCGTTTCTCGGTTCTTGGTGAAAATTGCCCGGTCGGGGTGCGCGCACGTTAGGAATTTACGAGCGACAGAAGCGCGCTAAAAACTCAACTTTCTCGCGCAAGACTTCGGGATATTACGACGCGAGATTGACGCGCATCAAGGAACCTACGAGCTCGTTCGTAGGATCGCGCGAGACGGGATTTTAAAATTGACACAGAGGCGGCTGTGTCCGT